TGACGTGGAGCTTTGTAAAAATCGACGTGTTTCAGAAAGGCGGGGCATAGAGGAGAAACAACAATGTACAATATGTGGAAAATAATGTGTTTTTTTAACCTTAAACCACATAAACACATTGCATTACACCAAATACACAAAATATTGTTCTTTTTAGCAACATCATATGACCCCTTCAAATAAAATGCGTCCCCGCACGAATCTCTACCTCCGCCAGCAGGACCTCAATTTCAGACTTTTCTTTGTGCTCGTCATTCTCAAGCATAGAAATTCTGATATTGGCCTGTGATCTTTTATATGGTAATGATATTAATTAGGGGGCATTTACAAGGCGGAGATCTGACACCGGTCAGCTGCGCACAATTTCAAGATTATTTGCGATTTATAAATGTCAGCTCTGTTAGATAGGTGTATGCATGTTCGTTTTCTCTGAATCGCACTTACGCACTTTTGAGAAATGATCTTAGAACAAATTTAGTAGGTTTATACGCAACATTTTAAAAATGAGGCCCCTGTTGTTTCAAGTAGCGCTTAGCATTTTACACTTATTTAATAAAAAGACCGTCGATTTTATTAATTTTTTTACATTTATTTATGTGAACTCCGCTGGAGCCTTTAGAGCAAGATACAGCTACTATTCATGCTATCCAATCAGGACACTGATATGATAAAAGTCCAGTCCACTAGGAGAACAGCAGCAGTTCTGGCGGGCTGCGGGGCCACAGCGGGAAGGCCTGCAGACGCAGCTGTGTCCAGGCCTGCTGATATGCTCCTGCGGCCTGCTTGTAGTCCCAGTACGTCTTCAAATCTTTTCCACTTCAGCAAGCACAGAGAAGAAACAAACACATCGATCAGACACAACAGATACACAAACAACACCTGCACACTGCAGGGAGCGTGCAAGAGCGGTCAGTGGTCAATGTGACTTTAAGGACAGTCATGCATGGCATCACGTTTCTGCTTCAAACACACAATCTAAGGCTAGAAACACACTGTACTCTACACAAGTGTGCAAACGTATTGCAAACATCCAGTCCCTTGTTCGGACTCTACATGCAGAGTTGGGGAAACTACACAAAAACTTAAAGCATGAGTAGCTTATAGCTCTTTACAGTTAAGCTAGTCTTTTAAAAAAAGGACTTTCTATACTAAGTAACAAAAAGGTTTTTATCAACAATCAGAATTAATTTAATCATCATTTAAAGGGGTCCTATTATGCTCTTTTACAAAGTCTTGATTTTGTTTTGGGTGTACTAAAACAGGCTCTCATACTGGGTTGTATGAAAAGCACATTATTTTTCACATATTTTACATTATTACAACACCTCTCTCCCCAGTCTGGCATGAACGGCTCGAATAGTTCCTGTATCAAATGAAGGCCTGCCTTCTGAAATACTAAATGTGCTGTGATTGGTTAGCATGTGCCAGTGTGTGTTGCGATTGGTTAGCTGGGCCAGTGTGTGCTGTGATTGGTTAGCTGGGCCAGTGTGTGCTGTGATTGGTTAGCTGGGCCAGTGTGTGCTGTGATTGGTTAGCTGGGCCAGTGTGTGCTGTGATTGGTTAGCTGGGCCAGTGTGTGTTGTGATTGGCTCACTCGGCGCCTGGTCGGGAAATGTCATGCCCCTTACCATAGCCGCCTGCGAGCTTCAGCGTAAATATTACGTCAAAATCAAATAAATTTGAGCGCGATTTAAACCCAGATGATTGTAACCACTCTAAGTTCGTCTGCCTTGGGAAAGCTAGTGTGTCTCTGACATAGTGATAATAACACTCGTTGCCTTCTCTAGTGCAGCTCAACCAGATCTCGTCCCATTCGTTGATATTTGTGATATCACAAATGCCGGAAAATATGCGTTGTAGTCCAAACGAGTCGTTCGTTGTATATGAAAAAAAATCTCCTTTTGAAGTGGACTTTGAGCTTTGTAACTTTGCAGATCTTTTTTATGCTCAAACAGCAACATTACAGACTAACTAAAGTTGAAGAAGTGAAAAAACATAAAAGGACCCCTTTAAAAAAAGTGGTTTGTGACAGAATTGAACAGATATATTGGGGT